GTTGATTCTAGACCCAAAGTTACGAAATATTTATTATTAAGGACACTATTTATAAAAATGTGGCGACATTGCATAATGGTTCGGAAGAAAACCAGGGGTGGTAATGGCCTTCTACAAAAATAAATTTAAAAAATTGGTTTTGTTTAAAAAACAGTATTTGATTATGAAATTAACAAAAAGTAAAATATTGCAAATGTATATACGTAACTTTTTCCGCATATAGGCTGCTCAGTACTAAAATCTATAGTACATGTAACATAAATTATAGATTAATAGAGTAGTGTTGTAATCGATTTATTTAATAATTATTTTGATATAAAAACCTTGAAAAAGAAGCTGGCAAAAAAAAAGCAATTTGCACATTTAGGGCATAGAAGCAAAATGCCACGCTATTGTTTAACCAAGCTTGAATAACTTGAAATCTGATCAGCCAAATAAAATTAAACGCTAGACTGTACTTCAAAAACGTTTCGAAATACTTAAAAGTAAAAATGTGTTACAATAAATGTTGACTATTGTGTGTACTGGCATATTAGGGTCATGGTAACGGCGAGCAGCTGAACAAATTTTATAAATTTCATCCATTTCAATTACTTCTGCGAACTGTCGACTTCTACCTTGTTCGTATTAATTTAAGCCTACTTTTAAATATAATAATTGAACTATTCTGGAACTCTGTCTACAATGGACTGTCACACTTTTTCTTTAACATTATGGAAATTTATCCATTGCGAGCGACCTTCTTCCAACATTTATGGACTTACATATGAGAATCAATTATAGTTTTTTTTACTGAAGAACAAGTTTTTAAAGAAATCTCATCGAAGCATGTCTTGCGGTTACATGTATACTGAATTTTTGTAAGTTTTTATCCACTGAGAATGATTTACTGTGAACCAAAACGTTTTTGGGTTGTGATATTATATTTAATTTTATTAATACATTAATTTTTTAATATTGTGCACTGACATCATGCTTGGCTCATTGTCCATCGTTTCTTATTTCAATTTTAATTTTCTGAGTCTTTAGATACTTGGTTTTGTGCTATAAATATTCACTAGAATTCACTCCCTAATAGAGATATTAAAAGAGGCCATTACATCTACACTGGCCACAATCACTCTCCTCTAATAACTAAAAAAGAAAAAGAGAGAGACATATGAAATAGAAATTCCATAGAATAGAGGGATTACATATGAAACAATGTAGACATGAAAGAAATTTTTTAAAGAAGCGAAACAAATCACGTGATAAAGTATATGTTGCGAACATTGCAGCAAACAGCACAGTAAAATAGAACATAAAAGGATTCCTTAAGAATCGTGCTTTCTTGTTTTCGATGTATTTACCGTCGATGGAGGAAAGAGAAGGAACGATTTATATCCGATGTGTCCGCTCCTCGTGGAAGCATGCAGGATGCCTTAAGAGGCTCCCGCTTACGTCATCCGATCTTCGGGCCTCGTACCCGGGGCCTCTCCAAAGACCTATTACCTTATTTACGATTCGCACGGCCATTATCTCCTGGCAACAAAGTGAACCAGCCGGTTTTTCGATACTATCCGCGTGTGTATACCCGCCGGTGTGAAAGAAAAAGGGGAACCCTTTTCGCGGACGAGAAACGAGCACAAAAGACACGCACAACAGAGTCGTGGTGCAGTTTTGCGGTCGTGGCCGCGCCGCCGAGAACGGAGGAGGACTTTTGTCTTCGTTTCTTAATAACACGCGCGTCCACACGGAGACACCGCGTGGGGCGACCCTGGTAGAGCTAAAAGTGCTCACGCCACTCTGAGATATTATCAAATTATGGATACGAAATTAGGGAACAGAAATGTTGGAAAGGAGAGGTTATTTCTGTGAGATAACGATCGATATTTATTTACGTCATATTGCCAAATGCTAAAATAATATTTCAATTATATATGGTGTGTATAATAATAAATAAAATTAATTAAGTAAAGATTTTTCTAACGCTATTTCGTTTGCTTTTAGGACGTCGGAGTAAAAGTAGCAATTTCGGCAACGGTAAATAAGTAACCATCGGGGAATAATGACCTCGTCGACAGACAGGTCTCTAATTTTGGAGTATACGATTTAAGTTTCCGTTTAAGTATTTATAAACATTTACGTTAGTCGTGCGCTACTGTGTGACGGTATAATTGATTTTTTTTTTACTATTTTAAAATTTCTTTATATAATTGTTACGTTGTTTTGTTATCTTAATTTCTAGTTGTTCGAAAAATACGAGTATAATGAGGCAAGTGGAAGAAAGTGGGAAAACCGTCCATTTCTCACGTTGAAAAGAAAACAGACGTTTAATCAAGATTGCCACAAAACTGGAGATAATGAAAATCAGGGAAGAGCCAGGGAATTTTGCAAAATTTTTTTGGAAAATTAAAATTCTTGGTTTTAAAGAAGTTTAATATATGTACATCACACCTACATATGTAGTTTTGGAAATACTAATTTAACAATTAAAAATGTAAACAATGTTCAGCAACATGAATAGTAATTTACATTGCTAAATTGATCTCTCAAAATATTTGACCATTTCCGAATCAGGTCGAAAATACAAAAACATTTCAAAATATTATTGAAAGTCAGAGAAAATAATCCAAAAATCAAGGAAAAATTGAGGAATTTTTAGAATGAGGAATTTGTAAACAACTCTGTTAATAAACCCAAAAACAGCTTTTATCGGAAAATCTTTAGTTTTGTGATGATCAAAACGCAGAGGTAGGAATATTTTCGCAGGAACACGAATGTTGATATTTGCCAACTCGCAGAGTCATACTACGTTAATTTCAGCCGATGGCTCGCGGTGACCGTTGCTGTTATGGGAGAGCGAGGTAAAGAGAAAGAGAGAGAGATAGAGAGAGGGAGAGAGAGAGAGAGAGAGAGAGTTTGGATGAAAACGAATTTGTCGTTGGCCGCGATGCAACACGATGCGTCGCTCTGCGGCGCAACAACCTGTTCGATGACTTTTCCGTTTGATGATTGCAACAAGTGAGGCCCACCGCCGCCGTGCTCTCTCCCGCGTTCTCCCAAACCATTTTACCACCGACTGCCACTCCCCGTTTCGCATTCAACAAGTGGCCAAATCATTCACCACGGGGCGACGATCTCTCGAAAAATCGGAATTTTTGTGCACGCTGTCGTTTGGCCAGTCATCGATCGATCTATCAAAATGAGATGGAGCTCCTGGCGGCGATATGGCATGTCGCGACATGCGATGGCCTGGGTGTTCCGAGAAGGATCATCGACGTTGCCGCTGAAATTGCAATTTTATATAGCTTATTTTTGCAGTAGCCAATTTCTATTTTCGTAAAAATCCACACAGATACATGCCTTCATCGGCATAATAATAGTATTCGGCGGTTGGCCTCTTAAGAGGTACGCGCGAGACGCATCCTTTCGAAATTCGATTGACGCCCTTTCGCCGCAACGTAATCATTACTGTCATCGGAAAGCGCCGATCTTTTCCTCCGTAATTTCAGTCGGCGCGCCAAGTGCCATTGGTGGTGTGTGTATATATCCGACGCTCTCTCTCTCTCTCTTACTGAAGAGAGTGGTGGTGGACTCGAACGAATCTCGTGGTATCTGGTTGGAATGGGTCTCATTAAGGACGCCTTCACAGCCCTTCATCCTTGGCTCTTCAGGCCCGCGCTTTCGTCCCTTCATCTCTCTCTCTCTTGTTCTCGTCTTCTCTTGCCCCTGCTTGGAAACGCTCGTCTTTTATACCTGGCTGCCCCTTGCTCGCATTTCTGGGCTTGGTCCCGTGTGTTTGCGTGCGCCTTATGTGCTCGAAGGTCATTCGACGTAGCTGGTTCCTTGTCATCTTCGACTTTAAGCACGTCGTGACTTAAAATGTGTTTTCAATGGTATCCGACGAAACGAGAAACTGTCGCGCTTTTTGACTAACGGTCTCTACTACAGATTTTTTTCTGTAGTTAAAATTTAAAACTTTCTCTTTCCAATATTGACAAATAAAATCTTAACATCAGAGAAGAAGTTATTGAAAAATTAAAATCTCCTATTAACGACAGTACATATACATATAATGATTTACAATCTAGATATATGAATAAATCATGTAACTAAGAAAAGGGCGTATACGACCGAGTTTAGATTTTGATGCCCAATAATATTTTCAAATGTAAATTCTATAAATACATCTTTTTATAGTCATATAAACCACTTGCTGTCGGATTTGAAATGCAATCATAAACTGAAGCCGAAATAATATTACAATTATTAATTAATTGACTTGATAATGGTGCTACTAGCATCTTAATAATGATTTTTTTTAACGAAAAGTTATAATTGTATGAGGATATTTTGCATATAATATATATGTATTATATTTTATAAAAATTATACACGGTTATGTTATTTATATACTGAAAAAAATTAAATTTTAATAAATATTTATTCGAACAGTTCTAATTAAACATGTGTTAAATATAAACATATATTCATTTGATACAAAAATGATTTATTTGATTTAATTATATAATTTTTCATTGAGTAAATATTTTTTTAGTATAGTATATATATACATATATAATATATGTAGTAATATATACTTATATAGAATACCAAGCAAACTGAAATTGATTTTCAAGAGCACAGATAAGATGTGTAACTTTTTTCAATATAAATATCATTACATATTTTTAATAACGGACATTTTCCCATGCTCTACTAATAAGCTGCCTGCGTCCGTAACCGCAGATACGGGGCTAGTTCATTTATTCGTATTAATAGCCAGGGATCTGCACGTGGATGGCGGACTGGCCCCGGAGCTAAAAAGATTAAATACAATGCCACAAAGTGACGGCAGGCTGCTTGTCGCGGATGCGGCTTATTCGTCGCGAATGCGTTCCGCGCACGGTTTTAACGCCCACGTGCGCACATATCCTCTATCGCGTCCGCATTGTCGTGTATACATAGCTAATTGAATCCCTTCGTGTTTTTCCAATCCTTTTTTTTTTACCTTACAGGGCGGCGGCGGTAGCGGCGGGGCTGCTGGCGGGCTGAAATTCACGGTGGCGGACACTTGCGAGAGGATCAAAGAGGAATTCAATTTCATCCAGCAGCAGTACCACTCGTGAGTATCTCTCTTTCTTTCCCCGTTTATTTTCCTTTTGGTCTTTTCTTCCTCGCCATTCGTCCCCGTTTCTCGAGCATTTCTATTTTCTTTTAGCCCTTCCCCCTTTTCCTTTTCTTTCTATTTGCTCCATCGTGTTTCCTCAAATTTTCGCGATTATTCAAGACGACGAGTTTTCCTCTACATTTTTCCTCTACATTTTTCTCAGCTGATTTTCGATGATGTTTCGATTATCGACTGATTCGCACCATTCGATACATGCTGCGTGCGTTTTACTCCTATTTCGAAGTTCTGTATTTTAAGGTTTAGGTTTCCACTTTAAATGTCTGTCTGAATGGAAAAATGAATTTAGAGAATCGTGCCCGTTAAGATTTTTATTCGGGATGTCGAGGACAACATATTTCAATTCCAGCCAATTTAACCGGGGGATACATTTCCATATGCTCTGTACGGGGTCCTTTATATTGAAGCGTTATCTATCTTATTCTACCCAATCGTTTCTGATTTATTTTATGTTTCAGACTGAAGCTTGAGTGCGAGAAGTTAGCTAGTGAGAAGACCGAGATGCAGAGGCACTACGTTATGGTAAGGCACTTTGTAAGTTCCTTTTTGTGTCTTTCCTCTCTTCGATCGAGTCTCGTTACCTCTTTCGTTTCGCAAGTCGAGAGCGGACCAAACCAAGAACAACTCCGACAACAATTTAGTTCTTTAATCGTGAAAATGTCGGTGATACTCGCAGAGCTATGCTTCTCAGTGTTCGATAATCCTTTTATGCGCGAAATGCAACAACAAGCAAACAAGCTCCGATAGAATATCGTAAGAAACTTTATACTAAAAGTAAGGGGAAAAAGTATCGTTACTTTTCCCCCGAGTTTCGGGGAATATTTAATCCAACGTTTTCCCACAACTTGTGTAAAATGCACAGGGTCGTTAAAAATAAAAACGAAATTCGATTATCGGTTTTGCGTGCATCGCGAAGAAACTCTTCGAGGAGTCTCTCTCGACTTGCATTCGTATTGGCACGCGAGAATGCATGCCAGACACACGATATTTATCGATAATGCGAGCATGAAAGAATAGGATATTACATAAATGAGAGAAGAGTGCAAGCCGTTCTCTCTGGGAAAAGCGATTGATATTATTTTCGCTTCATATTGCTGGCCCCTCTTTGATTTAGTTCTATCAGCGTGAAGGCAATTAGCCCAGCCAACCGTACTAATCGTATCGTCATCGGTAAGGAGCTTACTTGGACTTACCTATATTAAAGTGCAGTACTAACATGGTCCAAAGTATTCGTCACTCGTTGTTCTCTTCTTCTCTACCCTGAGGTATAATATAATAACTGGATGTTATTATTGTCATTTCTACAATAGGTTTTTTCCTTTACGAGACTATAAAGTTACGTAACGTGCGAAAAGTTGCCTGAAGTCGAGGCAGTTATAATTTGTTTAAGAATTGTAGTACTACAGATATATATTTGAAATATAATTTTTTAAGATAATATCGATATTTGACATTTTAAATAATGCTAATTATATTAAATTGGATTACGGCTTGTACTGAAAAATGTGGCCTTCGTTTCAAAGGCAATATACAGAGGCGACGTGTTGATACCGGAAATTGAATGCTCTGAATGAAATATTGGCTCGCCCGTTTCATCGTGAATAGCTGCTGCAAAAAGTCATGCACCGGATCGCAGTCAAGCGCTTTCTTAGAATTCGCGTATAAAACGTTTCAAGTACTACGCATAACATTGTAAAATAAGTTGTAATATATGTAACTTTTTGTTAAACCCCAATTGCCAAACTATCATCGTAAACTTCACTCGAGACGTTAGTATGAAAATATTTCCGAGTGCTGGATATAAAGCGTTTCTCGTCTTTTTCACAGCAAATCAAACTTGCGAGAGACACGGTGGCTCGACTGAAAATGAAAATAAAAATCAAGCAGGATCGGGACAAAATCTTTTGTCCCGATACAAAATCAGCATTGCACGAGAATGCGCTCTCGCAGGTACCGGGGCTTACATGTTTCTGTAAACCGCTTTCGAGATACGAAAGCGAACAACGCGGATTGGTGGGTCAATAACCCTGTTATGCTCAATAGACGCAAATTTCAGCGGAGCTAAAGGCACATTGCGTACGTTTACTCAGTTGCTTTTCAGAATTCTATAGTCGTCTGTAGAGATTGCAACCGATATAATTGTGCGAAACCGACATATAATTTCAATAAGTTGAAAACTAACCATTATCTGCCATTGTCTGGCGTTATCACGATTGGACATAAAGATCCCAAGTGTAAATTTAGAATTGTGTCAAAGTTACTGAGAAATTTTGTAAAGAATATCCTCTCCGAGTAATTATTAGTCTATTTTAGTTAATGTTTCCTTATATCTCTTTCCGTTTTATACTTGACAGGAATATTTAATTATCGGTTTTTTGATCTTAACGTAAAGTAATTGCGGAAATGCACGGTTGTAATTTTTGAAACGTTCCATTTCTATCCGTTAATTCTCGAGATAAGTTCAAACGGAGTGCTTCAATACAGGTAGCTAGGATTTGCGCGCTTAATGCATTCCTAAGAAATGCAAATCCAAATTCACGCGAACGCGAAAAGCCGATGGTGTTTTGCATGCGAAAATTGCGCTCGTTTTACGCGAGCTCCATTTACACGGAGTTAAAACACGCGACTTTAAGAACTGCTCCGGAAAATGAACCGCGTTCGGCAGATCGATGTCCTCACCGATGTAACACCGCCCGGCGGAATCCTTGGATTCCGAGGTCCTACACCACTGTCTGCTGTACGGCCGATCGTAATTGTCGCGAACTATACTGTCTCTGTAAACTGCTACACCGATGTGACACCGTGCAAGCAACCAAGCAGCAAGCTGGGCCGAGTGGAAGGGAGTCGGGGGTGCTAGAGGGAGTGGATAAGGGGGGGGGGG